GGGGGATGAACGGTTGCGAATAGGGGTAAAGTGCCCTCAACATTTTTTGTGTAGAATTTTGATCTCTACAACTTTGTGTAGTACGTTTTTGGACGCACAGCGCGTTATTCACGAGTTATTTCGAAAAAACTGTTTTCAGGGGTAGTTTTTTGGCTTTTTCAACCCCCGCACAAACTTGGGGAACCTTAAATATCCGCCATTAGTTTCATACGCCCAAATCACAAATTCCATAAAAAATGGAGCCTGTATCGCAAACATTCGTATGTTAGACCGACGTTCATTGGACTAGTCGGAGATCCGTTCGGGATTTCTCCGCGCATTTGAAAATTCATTCCTCCGCTCCTACTTGAGATTAAGGAATGAAACCGCCGTCATTTATTGAGAATTTAATTCTCTATCGATCGGCATCGGTTTCATTCCTTCATCTTCATTAGGGGGGGAGAAATGAATTTTCTAATCGGGAAAGCCCCTCCGGGCTCACTCGACGTCGGAAAGCCGTTCGGGGTTTCTCCGCGCTTTTGAACATTCATTCCTCCGTTCCTAACTGAGATTAAGAAATGACACCGATGTCATTTATTAAAAATATAATTCTCAATCGGTAAGCTTTGGTTTCATTACTTCATCTCAATTAGGGAGGGGAGAAATTAATTTTTGAATGAGAAGAACTTGTTCGGAGTTACTGCGCGCTTTGAAAATTCATTCCTCCTCTCCTAATAGAGATTAAGAAATGAAACCACTGTCATTTATTGAGAATATTATTCTCGATCGATAGATGTTGCTTCCGTTCCCTCTCCGCAATTAGGGGGGGGGGGAGAAATGAATCTTCCAATCAGGGGAATCCCTCCGGACTCACTCGACGCCGGAGAGCCATTCGGGATTTCTCCGCGCATTCGAAAATTCATTCCTCCGCTCCTACTTGAGATTAAGGAATGAAACCGTTGTCATTTATTGAGAATTTAATTCTCGATCGATCGGCATCGGCTTCAATCCTTCATCTCAATTAGGGTGGGAGAAATGAATTTTCCAATCGGGGGAGTCCCTCCGAGCTCACTCGACGTCGGAGAGCCGTTCGGGGTTTCTCCGCGCTTTTGAAAATTCATTCCTCCGCTCCTAACGGAGATTAAGAAATGAAACCGATGTCATTTATTAAAAATACAATGGTCGATCGGTAGGCTTTGGTTTCATTTCTACATCTCAATTAGGGAGGGGAGAAATTAATTTTTGAATGAGAAGAACTTGTCCGGAGTTACTGCACGATTTTAAAATTCATTCCTCCTCTCCTAATAGAAATTAAGCAATGAAACCGCTGTCATTTATTTAGAACATAATTCTCCATCGATCGATATTGCTTTCATTCTTTCATCGTAATTAGGGGGGGAGAAATGACTTTTCCAATTGGGGGAGGCCCTCCGAAGAGCCGTTCGGGGTTACTCTGCGCTTTTGAAAATTCATTCCTCCGCTCCTACGTGAGATTAAGGAATAAAACCGCTGTCATTCATTGAGAATTTAATTCTCGATCGATCGGCGTCGGTTTCATTCCCTTCTCTCAATTAGGGGGGGGGGGAGAAATGAATTTTCCAATCGGGGGAGCCCCTCCGGGCTCACCGTTCGAGGTTTCTCCGCGCTTTTGAAAATTTATTCCTCCGTTCCTATCTGAGATTAAGAAATGACACCGATGTCATTTAATAAAAATATAATTCTCAATCGGTAAGCTTTGGTTTCATTCCTTCATCTCAATTAGGGAGGCGAGAAATTGATTTTTGAATGAGAAGAACTTGTCCGGAGTTACTGCACGCTTTGAAAATTCATTCCTCCTCTCCTAATAAAGATTAAGCAATGAAACCGCTGTAATTTATTGAGAATATAATTCTCCATCGATAGATATTGCTTTCATTCTTTCATCGTAATTGGGGGGGGGAGAAATGAATTTCCCTATCGGAGGAGCCCCTCCGGTTAGTCCGCACTTTTGAAAATTCATTCCTCCGCTCCTACTTGAGTAGGATAGAATAGAATTTCCCGAAGATTCCAAAAAGCTTCATTGTTCTTCGTGCATGAAAAATGGGGATCTTCGGGAAACTCCTTGCGATCACAAGACTTTTACCGATTTATTTTTCTCCGTGTGACGTCCGTATAGAAGATCAAAAAATCAATTTAACTTTGGGATAAATGGAGAGGAGAGAAAAACGTGAATATCTCGGAAATTAGATGCGACAAAGTGGGCCCTTTTCACGTGGACGTACACATATAATTGGACTGAAATTTATAGAAATTTTTAATTTGCAATGACGAAATTCCTTGAAATTTCCGTATTACGGCAACGCTATAAAAATTCCCAATAAGTTCCCGGAATTTCTGCGAAAATATTACTGAAACTTACAGACATCATTCCTGATTTCAAGACATTCCTTTGATTTTCAGGATCATGTCACTAGAAATTTTTTACAAAATGACTTAATTTTAACATTGCTTGCTCATTGCATTTCAGAAATGCAGCTGCCTAAAAAAGACACATCGATTCCTAGGAACAACGTTTTTTTTTCTCGGTAAATACAGACAATAGAGAAATGTCAGAGGACAGTGAATAAACTTCACTCGTCAAAAACTCCATAATGGCAGAGTTAAATTCCCTGATTTTTTTTCACTCTCGATTAATTTTTTAAAGATTCAAATTGATACTTAAGTATCAATTGATTCATTCACATCGTTCCATTCCATCGGGAGATATTGTCGATTGGAGACAATTTTTTATGGTCACTGAAGAATGCAAACCATTCATTTAAATCTCGCAATAATCTGCGAAAAGTCTCATTCGTTAATCTATTATTATTGATTTAATCCCATTATGTGTATGAGATTTGTTGAGATATAATCTCTCACAAATATTGAATATATTTCTCATCAAAATAATTTGAAATTCATTCATTACCTTTGTATCACTGACAAAATATGTAATAAATGTGAATAAGATGAATTGCTCGTATTTTTTTTTTTATTAAAGATCTAGTTGTATAGAAATTCAAATAAATGATCCTCTTTCGCTCAAGACTTCATAATTCCTTCTCTCCCTCTCCTTTATGATCAACTAATTTACAAATTAAGACAATAAGAAGTTGTATGAACGAAAATGGGATAATCAAGCGGATGAGTGAATGCAAAGGAGGTTTCATGTTGGATTTAAGATTGGGAACGCATCCCTATTATCGACTGTTTCCATGGTAATAGATGAACATTTCTTTACCCACAGAGACGGCCTCTCGATTAGTTCATGCGCGTCACCGCTATGAAACTGATCGAACAGTTCCCATAAGCCTGAGCAATCTCCCCTATTATCTCTGTCACCGACACCGAAACAGGGGACAAGTTCCAACGGAAGCCGCGTGCGGCGCTGTTGCGTCCCTTCCCCTCACGCGGATTAGATCTCCCACCGCACGCAGAATTTACTTGCGTCGCGAGTTCAAATCCCCGTCAAATTTTTTTTTTTTTTTCTCATGAGAGAAATAGTATATTTCGTAACGAGTGCAAAAAAGTGGTTTTTGGCGAGTGGGAGGTTTATAACACGAGCCGAAGGTGAGTGATATAATTTCACGAGCCAAAAACCACTTTTTTCACGAGTTACGAACAAAATTTTTCATCACAATGTGTCGGAAAGTTACTTCTCCGATACAGCGTGATGAAAATAAAATTTTGTGTTCAATCGAGAGGAACAGGATTAAAAAATGTTGAGATGAAAACTATATGATTCTCACCAAATAGTTCTATGGGATCGAGCGATAAAGATTGACTGAGAGTCATGTCGACTAGACGATTGAAATACTAATTAGAAGGAAGAATAATTAACATCAGAAGTCCATTTTATTAATTATTCCTCTTCTCTTCAGTGAAGCTTAATGGGGAAGAATTTGGAGGGATGGGATTACGATAATGAGGATCCCAGTTTGAACTATGTTATTTAAAGTTTTCTTCTATGAACAAGTTTTGAAAAAGATACGAGGGTCATAATGGTCACGAGGGGTGAAATAAATGAGGTACAAGGGGTTTCAAGATCCACAAAAGAAAAAAAAAGTCCCAACTATTCACTTACGCACCTCACACAAATAACAACCCATCTTTGACACTTGATCACTCGATAGCAAATCACCGCTTTTTTCCAGCCATTGTCGTCGCTTCTCAATTTTTTTCACACTGGGAAGGGAGAAAAAACGATAATTATCCTTAGAAGATGCTTTGCAATTCATAATTGCACACGATTTAATCATTTTACATGAATCAACTCGCGCAGACTGTTCAGATCTATTGGAATACGTTTTGGAACAGACATAAACAAACAACATTCGCGAGATATTTTCGCGCGAAAAATAAATATTGTTCAACATTGGACAAAAATGCATTTTCATTTTATTTTCAATGCTATTATATTGAGCAGTGATTTCACTCTCAATCTTGGTAATTATTTCCAGTAAAAAAAGAAAGAATTCACCTATTATAAGATAAAAATCACCCCATTAATGAAAGAGTGAGCGGGCCATTGACTATTAAAGAAATAGTACATGAAAAGCCAAGAATATATTTGCATTTTTTTAATTTTCTTCGCATTGTACATGTAATTTTATACGGGGCTAATTATTTTGACTTAAAATATTAATTTCATAACGTTCCCTCCAGCAAAAAACTGCCAGTGGTGGGAGACTAAAGGAGATGAGGGCAGCCCCCTGCTACTTAACCAAACTCGTGTCCCCGCTATTGAAGCCGCCCGCGGTGCGGCGCTAGTAGTTCCCTGCTCTCACCGAAACGCGCGCTATATAGCTTATTCAAACGCGTGCAGCACACAAGTACATTTAATTGCGACAATCCAAAGAAATACGACGGTATTGAATTGTGACATAGGAAGTAAATAAATTCGATCGGACAATGATTCGGAAAAATAATATATTTATAAAAAAATTGGAATGTAGATAAACAATTTACATTTTTTTCTTTATTTGCATATTATACAGGTTACGTTTTAGCGAACTTCGACATTTTTCTTTTCTGTTGGTCAATTTTTTTTTGCTCCAGATTGAAATTATTACAAAAATCTTGCATGCGTTTCACAACAAAGGTTCGAATTAAATTGTACAAAATGTCAGTCGCATGAATTTGACAAGGAAAAGAGAGGTGAGGATATTTGTACACATCATCAAGAATATCGTCAAAGATAGTAGCAGAAGCGCCGTGAAACATAAGTCTTTCCTCTAAATACGTAACAAACTTGTGCATTCGTTGGTTTGGATGAGTTAGAGGACCTTTCATCAATTCATCGGAAAACATTGCTTCGGGGAGGATAGGGGCTAATTCATCACAAAGTAAAGCTTTTTTACAAACGACACACGTCACAGTATTCATTATTTGGTTCGTCAAGTTAGCAGTCATGTAGTACAACATACAATTCTTAATTTCTGGCTCTGTATAGTCGTGATCAAATACGTTTTCTAGTGACCAATCTCAACGATTGATTTGTGTACTATTACCGGCGTAACCATCTCTGCAATTTTCGCCATTTTCATGAGAGAAAAATGCATTACATTTCTTCCCGCTAGGTCCTTAGTGATTCCCTTCACCCACGGTGATGAAATGTCAAAATCTGTTTCAATTTGTTCCTGGAAAATCGCTGTCGATTCGCTTCCTTCAATCGCAAGGTTTGATTTATCTGAAGCAGGAGATGTTACTGCTGGTGATGTTGGTGAAGCTGTCGCTGGTGTTGATTCTAGTGGTGGCAGTGGAGAAGACGCAGGCGAACGAGGCAGAGAAGGGGCCGAAGAAGTAGGACTCTCAGGTCCCAATCCTTCATCCAAAGACTCCGTTTCACTTACAGCTCCATTTCGCTGCGAGTCTGATTCACTGACAATTTTTTTCGGCGCATTCCACTCTTTCCAATCTGCCTCGGACGCGTCTACCGGAGTTTTACCACTTGGCCAAGGAAATACCGAAGGAATCACCCCTGGTTTTAATCGTGGAACTGTATAAGGTGACTGCAATGAAGGTGTGATAATTAACGACTGAGTGAGTCAGGACAAGTCAAATAAAACAGTAAATATACATACCACACCAATAATTGTTCCATTTGGAGCACGTAACTCACGTTGCCAAACGTATTCGTCTGGTAAAAAGTGTTTTTCGCAGATGGATCGTCCAGCAGTTAATTTCTCCCACCAAATAGCCTTTTTTCACTCATCTACTCGATTTTTTGGCACCGTAAAGAAATGAAACGATTGAGGATTACTTTTGTATCCCGATTTACAATTTGGAACTGCACACGAAGGCATGATACTTCACATAAAGCAGACTGTCTCAGATTTCACACTCACACTGCAGCATTTCAATTTCTTTACTTACTTATACTGTCTTAATTTGACGCTGAGACGTTCAATTTAAGAACACAGATATAACTGAGGCACTCGTAGAAAGCAAACTTTACCGCACAGATAATAAATACTTGCGAATGTTGAGAATACACTATTTTACTGGCTTCGTCAGCTGATTACTATTTGAACTCGAACTTGATGGCGTGAGCGGTGCAGGGGTAAGGGGACGGGGAATCAGACAACTACTAGCGCCGCGCTCGGCGGCTTCAATAGCGGGGACAGAGTATTGGAAACGCTAAATATCAAAACGCCACCTATGAATGGCGGATATTGGGCTGCACACAGACAGCAGAGATTATAGGGGAGATGAACAGGGCCAATGTAAAGTGTTCAACAAAAAAAATCATAGCGGTGGCGCATGGACTACGATGGAGCGTACGGAACTGTTGGTATGATAGGGCCCGAGCATAAATTTGTCGATAACCGGAAAGGGGTTCTCAATACGGTAGCTCCTCGCATTTTGTAATAATTGTCAGGAATGTAAAATCGAACATATTATAATCAATAGTATAATGAATGCACAATCTGATGATCTAAAAGTCTTTTCCTTTTTCTCGACATATTTATCATTGACACGTAGGTAAAAAAATTCATAGAAAATCCCAGCGCTGTCGCTGGAAAACTCTATAGTTTTCCAGTGATTCTATTGAATAATTGTGCAGATTTTGTTTTTTTTTTTACTATAGTAATGTTCGATTATATATATTTATTCCCCCCCTGAGTGAGAAAGGAATATGTATCGCGCTCGCTCCCACTCATTGTCGTCTCCGTCGCGCTGTCACGTGCCCGTCCTCCACCAAAATTAATGAGTCGAGTGAGAAAGAAAATGGAGAAGAAGGAGAGAGAAAACATTCCAACTCGTTTGAAACGGTTGGAACGTTTTCGTTGTTCTCCAGCGATCTACACATAATGGGATTAATTCAATAATAGATTAATGAATAAGATTTTTCGCAGATTATTGCGAGATTTAGATGAATGGTTTGCCTCCTTCAGTGACCATCAAAAATTGTCTCCAATCGGAAATATCTTCCGATGAAATGAAACGATGTGAATGAATCAAGTATCAATTTGAATCTTTAAAAAATTAATCCAGAGTGAAAAAAAATCCCGGCATT